CGCCCCAGCAGGGGTCGGCGGATTAATATTGTTATATGCTGGGACAGCGCCTCACCCTCAGACAGGCTGACAAAGAAGGCCGGGCTCTCAGGGATGCGTTGCCTTCTGTTCTCCACCGGACCTACGATGGCCCGAACCCATGTTTAGGGTGTAGGGTTTAGGGTTATGATGACCCAGGTTTCACCACCAACCAGCTTGCTGCCACTCTTCACCCGGCACTTGTGTCACACTCGTTGATTGAGGTAGCAAGCACAAGGAAGACAAATCCAAACCAAAGGAGCTGGAAAAGGCGCTGCCGCGCTTGGAAGTTTCGTTGCCGGCACTACACGGCTAGGGTTGTACAGGCATGCGAGTGTCCAGAAGTAGTTTGTTTTGATGGGTCTTTAGCCAGCTTGCTAAAGCCAGGCCCCTTGACACTGTTCCGATTGAAGTAGGGGACGTCGAGCAGCTGCCACCTGCGCATTGGTCAAGGAAGACGAGGAAGACTATTCCCGTCGGACTTTCAAATGCAGTAGCTTGCTCAAGGACAGCTCCCGTAGGTCCTATTGCATCTGGCTTTTGCATTCACTGTTTGGGGTCATGGTGGGTTGTCACGTCAAGGCATTAACATAGGCCAATTCCGCACTACAGCATCAGTATCGTTCTTCTGGTGGTTAGTGACGGCAGCATTACCATAAACAGCGGTGGTGGTGCTGGGCTCCTGGGGTGGATCCAGTGACGTCAGTGTTGTTGTTGTGGTGGCGGATCTGTCCCAGCGGCAAAGATTAAAGACCGCTTCGCCAGGACCAGATCTTTGGCTCTAGCTACTTCAAGAGCCTCTTAGAAATCAGCGATCTCGACCCCTTGACAGAAGAGATCGCCAAGTACGTCGACCCCTTTGCGATTGTAGAGTTGCCATGGTGCTTTGTGACACGCAGTGCGTTCAACACTCGGCTCGCCCAGGCCGACACCCTCGACGTTTACAACTCTGGGAACAACGTGCATCCTTCCTGCTTCATTTGTCAGGCAGGAACGTGCAAGTTACCTGCCCATGGCCTTCTTGTAGCTGTCGATATGCCGGCTTTCGTTGCATTTTGGAGTCCTGCAGCTGTGTTTGTGCCGTAAGGTCTATCGCCTCTTCACGCTCCCGCAGTCGGAAGACTTGGACGAGCTTTTGGCAGTTCTGGATTCGAATCCTTCTGCCAAGGTGCTTTGAACCCCCGAAAGTAGGAGTGTATTTATTTCCTGGGCGTGCTTTCTCAAGCTGTTCGGTGGCTAGATGTCTGGAAGACCTTGGTCTGTGGCATCAGGTTCGCTGTGCCGCCTTCCTGTACGTCCGCTTTGTGGTGCCCTGCGATCTGTGACTGAATTTTGAGGTCCAGGTGAGAAAGCTCATGCTTTTTTGCATTGAATCTTGAACTTGCGAGGTACCTCCGCACAAGCTGTGGGACAAGCTAGACGAACACCTGTTTGACGACCAGGAGTTGAAGTATGTTGATGGCGACAAGCAGGCTTGAGATGCGAGCCAAGAGACCGCCTCCGTGTTTGTGCAGCTTGGGGCCCCCGTGATGTTTTGTGTTTGGTAGGTTACGACCACCATTCGAGAGTATGTGGAGAATCTGCTGGTCAAGGCTTTGCGGCCTTTGTGCTGGTGTTGTTGCCTATATCCGCACTATAGAGGTTCTTAGTTGAGATGCACGTCGCGCATCTTTATTCAGACTGTGCATGTCGCTTGGCTCCAAAGGACAGATATTACAACACTCCGCTGCCGAGAATTCCAGTGAAGGCCGGTCCGCCAGAGGAGGGACCCTGTCTGCTGTTGACCTCTCCAGTGCACTTTCGGATGCGAAGTTGTGAGTTTCAGGCTTTTTCGCGGGTAGTTTCGGTGCGGAGTTTCGGGGCGGAGTTTCGGAACATGGTCCGGGACAGTTCCAGATCAGGACATGGTCGTCAGTTTCAGGCCCAGGTTTGCAAGAATCGGACTGAAACTGCCCGCCTCGTCCCCTGAAACCAACAGACCCGCGTCCCGAAACTGACTCCGAAACTGGGCGGCAAAACTATCCCCCTCTGTACCGACACCGCCGGCAGCCGATCCGAAACTAGAACCCCGAAACTATGGGCACCCGCATTGTGGGTCCGGAGGGGACATCATGCCTACTCCCTAAGCTCCCAAACCCAATGCACCCAGACTGCTCCTACAGGTACCTTATAGGTTTAACCTTATAAACCCCATAAATCCTGGACCCTAAACCCTATGCAGCTTTTGGCAGGTTCGGCAGCACTTGGAGAAGGAGCTCGCTCCCCTCTCACAGCCTGGGCCTCACCTCAGAAAGGCCAAGACTTCGGCAGGATGACTGCAAAGGCAAACATTTAATAGATTACATAGTCGAGACTCGACATGATATGTTTGATACCATCTTTCAGTATATATATATATAATATCATATACACGATATGTTGGACCTTATACATTGGGTGGCAGATCTTGGAGATCATCAGCCCCGGAGCCTCGCTTACTTCCAGGTTTCGCAAGCGCATGGCTGCTCTCCAGAGGGAACTGCCTCCAAAGAAGGTCCGGCTGCGGTTTCAGGGCCCAGGAGCCTGGTGCCGCAACGACTCCAGAACTTTGCATCTTCAGGGATGCTGCAGAGTTCCATCTCGGCTTTGTTGTATAATCTCTTGAAGGATTGAGGTCTCAGGTTCCAGGCCCGAAAGAGTGCTGGATCGGAGGTTGCCGGCACAGCCGTGGAAGTCTACGTAGATGGCAACTGGCTGCCCGGCCACATCAAGAGCTACGTAGGCGCGGCGCGGTGGAAGATTGCAAGCTCCATGGACAGACTTCTAGGGGTCTCCCCCACCCGAAGCTTTAGGGTTTGAAGTTTGAAGGGCCTTGTGGCCTCACCAAAGCAGTACAGCAGAAGGACTGGTCAAGAGGTATGTAGGTCGGAGAAGAGGAGAGAGGTGTCGGGTTGGTGTAAGGAGTTCAGGCTTCGAGGGCGAGCCAGACTTCTTAGGCCTTGAGTGACGACTTCTCTTCGATGTGACTCCTGTAATTATTCAAGGGTTGCCACTCCTATCGCTTCTTCTTGCATTCTTGATTCTGGGGATGTCTCTAGCAGAGAGTCTCCGACCCTCCTTTGGTTGTTGACCACCCGGGTGAAATTTCGTGGCTCTGCCGCTCCAGGGAGTCGGGGATGGAGTGCAACTCGCAGAACTACTCCTTTAAGAAGAGGGGGCCTGTCAGAGAAGAAGCTGGGTTATGTAAGCCACGGCATCGAAAGGGTCCAGGGTAGATGAGGTCCCCCGGAGGGTGAGTTCCAGCTTGTTGCTTTGGGTTCAGGGTTTCTTGCATCTCAATTCTTCATGGTTTGGGGTGTTTATCCATCACATTTTCGGGTTTGAGCGGACTTTCGGAACACGCCTTGCGAAGAAACTGAAGTCCACATTGCCTTGTCTCTCCACAGGTTCCTTTTGTTCAGGCCTCGGGCATGTTCGAGGCCCTGCCCCGAACAAAGGCTAGAAAAGCTAGCCAGCTGCTGCTGTCTGACAAGTTCTGTATCGGACTGATTGGGGCAAGAAACGAGGAAGCTCGCCCTTGAAAGCCCTTCATCCCTTGCGATACAGAGCATCAAAGCCGAACCACAAATCTGGGAGACAGAGAGCTTCTCCCCTCGCCCCGCAAGGCCAGCACAAGCGCAAAGTGAGTATTCAACTTGACGATGGCGCTGTGGTACAGTCCCACTTGGGAAAGGCCGGGAATGCGACAGGTGCAGCAGCCAGAAGGGTCACATAATGGCACATTCAAGTGCATTATCTCACTTCATGTGCTCATGGCAGGATTAGAGGGCACGACACAAATTTTTTTCTAGCCCGGAGACCACAGTCGGCAGCTGGCACTACGGCCTGAGCCTGCGATCCTGATTCCAAGGAAAGGCTTTGGAACCAGATCGGAATCCAGAGCTGCAGCAATTCTTAATCTCGGATCTTTACAGTGAATCAATGGCTTGGGTTTTCCCGAAACTCATCGCCTTGCACCGCCCCAATGAATCGGTGAAGCGCATGAGATATGTTGGAGACCTTTCGGCAGCCTCGTCCCGCGACCCACGAATCTCCCTGGCTTCAGGTTGTGCTGAGAGATGAGGAAGTATCTGACAAAGACAAGGAGAAAGACAAGGACGACAAAGAAGAGAAAGATGAGGCTGTGGTCGTCACATGGCACGGCACGAGGAAATTGGTCCCTGTATTTCTGCTTAGCAAAAGACCTAAGCATCGGGTCGTGTTGGCGGACCCGGGGACGTGGCACAATGGCCCTCCAGGTTGGCCCACCAGGGTCTGCCCTGGCGGGGCTTGCAACTCAACACTCCTACGGTCGTAACGCATGTCATGGTGGATTTTCACATCCAGCAAGCTAGATGAAAGCTGTCACGCTTTTGCGATCCGACTGATCCTTGCTGGAAGAACAAGGACGAGAAGAAGGAGGGCGATGAAGAGGAGAAGACAAAGGACGAAGCACCTTTGACCTTGAATCTTAAGGGCAGAGCAGCCCCCGGCAGCCGGCGGGGCCCCTTGCCGAGTAGAAACGTCCACCCTGGACATTTAAAGGCGGGTTTCCTCTTACATCTGGCCACAGACCTGGGATGATTCTTACGTGGTAGACCCGACAAAGGACCACGACCAGAGAAAGAAAAAGAAAGACAAGAAGGCTGGGCATTCGGCATGTCCCGAAGCAAGTTGACTTGTCGTGGTTGTCCGACAAGCTGTTTTAGACTTTTCTGCTGTCTGAAGGACGACCGGGACAGCAGTCGCAGCAGAAGTCGTAGCCGCAGCAGACATCGTCCAGTGCTCAGCATGGCAGTCTCAGCCCCATGCTGCGATGGTCGCTGAGGAAGGACCTTTACACCATGCTCTGATGTTGGCTGACTGTCTTCAGGTAGTCGTAGCCGCAGCCGCAGACGTGGGAAGCCCTGTGGAAGTGGATTGTTGGAGAAGAGTGCTCGCGAGGGTCTTCCTGTCGCTATCGGCTCAGCTGCGTCCAAGGTCGCGGTAGCTCTCCAGATTGGGCTCGCTACAAGGCCAGAAATGCATGATAATGCATGTGTACGGGAGGGAGCATCCTGAAAGTCGCTGACAGGGCTCCATGGATCCCAGCGAGATCGAGAGGCTGCGAGAAAAAGCGAGGGAAGAGGTACCAACGGGACTGCTTCAGGGTGTGTGCTTGCTCGCAGTTGGCCCACGCCAGGCAGTGGTTGGTGTGGGCAAGGCCTACTCCAAGAGACCAACCACCGTCGAGGGTGAGATGTGGCGGGGAAGCGGGCGGATCGCTGAGTTGTAACCATGAGCTTCAGTGATCCTCTGTTCTCCTCGGGCCTCAGTCATCTCCAGTTCCTCTTTTATTCTTGTGATGAGGTCCGAAGGGCGCGTCTCCATGCTCGGCGGCTCTCATAGCTATAGTGGAGGCCTTAGTCACTGCTGCACCAGGTCCATGCCCAGGAGCAAAATTGCTTCCCATACAGTCTAGCTGACAGCACTGCTGACAAACAGCCCTCTTGCCTCCCGCTAGCCTAGAGATAAATCTAAACGACATGCTCGACATCAGTAGTCCCAGAGGGGTCGCGCTGGTCACGGTTCATCTTGTAGTTTGCCAGGCTCGACCCGATCTTCCGGCGCAAAGGGTCCCTCTGACACCGAGATCAGGAGCAGGATCTCACGTGAAGAGGAAGAGGTGCGCGCTTCCCGTGGGCTCATGTCCTCCCAAAATCCCTGAGACTCAAAAACCCTACCTTCCTGGAAGGAGCACAAGAGGCGAATGCGAGAGATCTATGAGAAGTACGGCTCTGTGTCTGCTCCTCGCGGATCGCAGATGCGGCAGGAACCGAAGCATCAACCCACCAACTTCCCAATGCTTCAGGTCAAAAGCGACATCCGGTAACACGGGGACACAGCGCTCCTCAGAGATTGACCAGCCAGACGTGCTCCGCTTGGGCTGACCTTGTGCCGCGTGAAAAAGATTTGGTTCTTTGATGTAAGAGCCTTACCTCTGTCACGATAGTCTGCGATAGTCTGCGCCGGATCAGAGAGCCTCCACGGCTGCGGTTTGATTTTCACAGCCAGCACGAGGGATCAGGGCTATATAGGTGTTTCGTGCTCGCCATATCTTGCCAGGATCTGGGTCTTCAGAAGCGCCTCTTCGGAATACCGAAGCTCGAGGACGCATTTCTGCGGCCGCTCCGATTGTGCCGCTCCGGTTGGCAGCAGGATGCGAACAAGGCCGGCACCAAGCAGTCTCGGGACTGCACCCTCATCCTCACGGAAGGAGATTCGGCCAAGGCGGGGGTTATGAAGGTGGCTCGCAGAAGAGCATCTGCCTCCTCCAACGGCCACAGGCTCTGGCAGTAGCCGGCTTGAGCATCGTAGGCGAGGGCTTCGTTGGATTGCGTTCATTTCGCAGAGCTGCCCTGTCAAAGATGCTTCTCTGTCCCTTCTGTCCATACGAGGCCGGGATCACTACGGGGTGTTCCCGCTCAGAGGAAAGCTTAGGCCCCTTGTGCTCACCAGACTGCTGCGCTGCTTCTTGCTTTGGTGCCAGGGTCTCGTCGTTTTTTTGCGTGGACCTGGCGGCAGGAACGTCAGGGAATTGACGGAGAAGCAGATGATGGATAACAAGGTTCTGGTCTCTCGTTCGCTCTTCTCTACTGAGGAAGACGCTTTGTACGTGACGCCTGTGCTGAGGAGATAGAGGCTCTGATGAAGATCATGGCCTTCGACGTGTCGAAGAAGTACAAGGCCGCAGCAAAAGCCCAGTCTGCTCAAGTCGCAAGTCGCAGGTGGCAGCTCAGTTGAATCTTCCGTCAGCTGTTACGTATTATGTTGGGCAGGATGCAAGCGGCTTGCGTTACGGCTCCCTGATGATCATGACGGACCAGGCCCCGCCATCTCGCGTTCAGATGAGGCATCACACTGTCGAAACTACAGGACTTCGATGGCTCCCACATCAAGGGCCTTGTCATCAACTTCATAGAGCACTGGTTCCCGAACCTATTCGCCCCAATCTTTCGATATCTTCCGGTGCCCTGAGTTTGCATTCTCAGGTTTCCTGGCCTCCTGCAGTGTGAAGGCTTTCTGCGCGAGTTTGTGACACCAATCGTTAAGGCTGGGACGAATCACAGGTCTCAGCCCTCAAAAACATCAAGGAGAGAGTGCAGTTCTGTGCAGAGTGCCTGCAGGTCAGCAGGGGTGATGAAGTGGTCACCTTCTTCACGGCGTCTTGTTTGGATACGGATGCCTTCTGAGGCTTATGCCCTACAGCTTAATGATCACACTGATGCATCTCAAGGTGGCTGAGTACGAAGCCTGGAAACGGGCTAACAACGGTGGCGCCGGGTGACTCCGGCTGGTTTGGAGTGTCTCATATCAGCCACTGCGATTCCGTCGCCTGACAGATCAGCCTGGAATTGAAGTGGCATAACCAGAAAAAGTCGTAGAGGCTTGCAGAAGCCTTGCTTCAGGTGGGCTTGCAAGTACTACAAGGGGCTGGGAACCAGCACCTCTGCAGAGGCGGAAGCAGTTGAATGCACCCTTTCACAGCTCTTTCGGACTTGAGCTCTGGTTTTTCAGGCGGCAGTCTTGGAGTACAGATCCTAAATCATATTATATTCTAGTATATTATATTATATTATATTCTATTATATTGCATTATATTACATATTATATGAATAATCTATTATGAAAACAAGCTCGCGGAAAAAGGGGGAGGTTTCTTTGGCCGCGACGAGGCTCGGGAGTATTTCTCTGACCTGGAGCAGCACGAGCTGACCTTCCTGGCGGGCGAGCAGGTAGGGTTTAGGGTTTAGGGTTTAGGGCTGTACGAAGTTACTGCGGTCAGAATTGTGAGCTCTTGTGACAAAGCATGCCCTTGGTGACTTCTGGCTGGTGCAGGATGCCGACCTTTTAGACATGGCCTTTAATGCCAAGAAGGCTGATGCTCGCAAGGAGCCTTCCTTGACTCATCTTGACCCTGAAAGGATGTCTTTCTCCCAGTGTGAGTAGGTTCCGTGCACGTGCGCTTGCGCAAGCAGCCCGTGGCCCACAGCCAAGAAACCCACCGAGTTTTTCCGTCCCCAGCAACTCTAAGCACCTTGTGAGGAATTTACCTTTGCCAGACACTGACAAACCACCAACAGCCGAAGCTGACAACACTGCCATTGTGCCCATGCTTACCGCGGATGGCCTCAGCAGTGTCTTCCTGCGACTAGCACAGACTCAGCCCAAAGCTCCAGCTGTGCTGGACAGCACTGGCGTCTGGAACTACGCGCAGTTATGGGATTCTGCGGGCCGCATCGCTTGCTTCTTCGCAGACAGAGGTTTGCAAGCCCCCCCTTCGACAGAATTCGCCCCGCGGCCCGTTGCTGTTTTCCTGCGGCAGGGTCGGGAGTGGTATGCCACTTGCATTGCAGCCTGGATCTTGGGCATACCCGTTGTTGCACTGAGCAACGATCTTCCAAGTGGACAGGCCGAAGCTGAGAGGGCCAAGCGGGTCGCCACCGAGCTGAAGCCGCTGGCGCTGGTCTCGGACGACTCGGCGTTTGAAGTGCCATGCCTGCCTGGGGACTGTCTGCGGCTCTCGCTGCAAGAGATACGCAGCGCCACGTCAAGCTCTAATGGGCGGAACCCTGCAGCTTGTGCGTCGCCGGAATCTGTACTTTGCTACGTCTACACCGGGGGCACGACACGTCACAGCAAATGTGTTGCGGTAACCCATGCAATGGCATTATGGGAGATCCAGCAGTACAAGAAGGCCTTGGGTGGTTTGGCGAACGAAGGCGACAGGATGCTGCAGTACTCGTCTGCCTACTGGGGTGCCGCCATCTTTGGCCAAGCAGACCTCGCCTTGGCTTTCGGCGCCTGCAACATAATCATACGAGCGAGTGTCCCGGAGGAGATTGCGCGCATTTGTGAGGAGCATCAAGTTTCGGTGCTGGGCATTGTGCCATCGCAACTGCGAGGGGCATGGCCCGGTGGACCAAGCACAAGACCAAGAAGCCTGAGAGTGCTTATCGCATGGGCAGAAAAGATTCAACCCAAGCTGGCGAAAGAATGGCTTCAGCACCTACCTGTCATCGAGATACTCATTGCCTCCGAGTACTGGCTTTGCCTCTCCTCGGTTGGATGTCCGACGTGGAAGGATCCGGATGACGGCATGGAGCGTCATGTTCTGGAGCCTCTACCCGACCTGGACATCAAGCTGCTGAAGGAGAATGGTTCGGAGGCAGAGGGCGGGGAGAGCGGCGAAATGTTCTTGGCAGGCCCGACGGTATTTGCTGGCTACGTGGGGGCAGACGGCCGCATCAGCTGCCCCAACTTTCGCTACCTCGATGCCAAACGGTACTACGGAACTCGCGACCGACTCAAGCGTGTTCCTGGTGGTCGTGGTCTTGTATACCTCGGACGAACCGATTCTTTAGCAAAGGCTGGCGGTGCATGGCAGGATCTTGAAGCAGTCGAGGCCGCAGCCGCAGAAGTGTCTCAGCAAGCACTGGCCAGCCATGAAGGCACTCAGTCAGGTGGCAGGTGCAGATCAGGCTTACCAGTTTTGTGTGTTGTAGACAACCACATAACCACATGGGAGAAAGTTAGGGAGCCCCCTGGCTCTTGTTTCAGTCCTGCCGGCTGGGCCGACGGTCCTCAATCAGGTTGCATCTTGGAATGCAGATTTTATCACGGGGCTTCAAGCCAATGCACTTGCTAGTCGCCCAGGTTCCGGGCGTGTCAGCGGCAGCGCTTGTCGCCTGTGATGGCAGTACCGATGCCTACCTGGTTCTGGAAGACATGCGTGATGCAGCCGGAAGGGCTCGGGAAGGTCCACCACTTGCGGCTGTGCTGGACAACGCAATGCAAAAACTGAAGCCTGCTGCCGGTAACTCGAGACCTCACATTTGGGCACGGCTGCCTCTGCACCCAGCTACGAGCAAAGTGAATCGGCAAGCGCTACTTGCGCAGCGGAGTGAAGCCACTGCGCGGGAGACGAACTGGCACGAGAGGCTCCACAGCCTCCAGCGCCGAATGCTAAGGGGCTATGCAGCGTGGCACATCTTCTTCGGCATCCTGATGCTCCTCCGAGCGTTTATGGTGACAGCTCCGACTCTGCGACGGCCTTGGCCGTGAATCGCGTGAGGAGCGGCGTGGGGTAGGGAGGGCCCTGTTGCACCGAGGCTGGACATTCCAGGCCGAGCCATGCTGCTGCCCTACGTTTGGGGAGCCGCCTCGGCACGACTTACCGTGAGTCCAAGCAGTTGCTCGTAGTCTAGACTTGCCAGGTGCTCCTCTACCTCTGGCATGGAACAAGCAAGCAGGCCCGATGGAGTGTGAAGCCAGCAGCGCGGTTGGTGTCGTTTGCAGCACCCGCAGAAACGCGATTGGGTGAATATGACGATGCCGATGGGACCGCCGGATGTGCTCGCGATCCTCGTCTTGGCTAGAACCCCGGATGTTGGGCAAGTCGTTTTCAGCCCACCAAAGTCATGATATGTTGAAAACAAGCAAATCAAGCAACCCCCTTCGCGACGATCTCAAACGAAAGGAAAGCAGGAGACGTACGTACATGTTTCTGCAACGAGCAAAGCACCCGATGCTCGACACCTGAGCTGCCATGCGGTAAGGCGGATTGTCAAACGAAGTAGCACTTCGGGCTTGGGTTTTGGAGTTTTGGAGTCGAGGCCCCGCCGACTTGGCTTCTTTGGCCTTCTATACTTCTGGCCTCGGCTGTGTTCGGCTCCCGGCCATCTTTCATGCGAATGCTTCCTGCTTTTTGAGTGCTTCGACTGCTCTGATGACACTACGCGTGGACTTGCGTGCGCAGCTCTGGCTTGAGCTGGCCAGTGTAGTATATAATCGTGTATAGTGCATATACTGGTCTATAGCAGTATATAGTAGTACATACTAGCATTTCATGGTACATAATGGTATATACCTGTGTGCAATAGTGTGCACTAATAGATAACAGCATGTTATGGTATGTTGCAGTGCTTGCCTTGTCTTCTTTTGGGCCAATGTCAGGATTCCAGAGGCATCTTTCACGGGCTAGTATGACTTCTGAAAACAATCCCCAGCTATCTAACGGCGACAGTGAAAGTTTACATGGTTTACACGTAACCTTGAGACTGTCCGAGAATGTCCAAAAGTCGACTAGACGTGACATCAAAGTATCCAGTGCGATGTCCGTAGAAGTCCCGGCGCTCGGTCGGTTTATGGAGAATGCGCCACTTGCCGAGTGGCCTCTATCTCCTGGCTCTAATTCTTTGGGGCATCTGTGTGCCTTGGAAAGGCAAATGTCGATGGTTATAGGCTGTGCTGCAGATACTATCCTATCTCTGGTTTGGCGATGGTTTATGCTTCTGATTCGCTTTGCCGCCGTGTCAGGTCGCTGCTCCATTCCAGCTTATGCTGTCCTTGCTGCGTCCAAGTGCACCAGTGTTTGAGCGAAGATGCCGCGTTCTGGGACGATCCGGGTGCGTGGCTACAGCACAGACCAGCAAAGTTTCCTGAGGTTCAGTTAGGGAGAGGAGAGCAGAGAGTCACGGCGATGCACTCGAACTTGTACACGAGCAGTTCAATCAAAAGACCTTTAGGCTTCAATAGTTGGAGGAACCATGCGAGGGAGTGGGCTAGGAGTTGGGAGGGCGCGGCTCGAGAATCTGCAAAAAATGTTCAGGTTCGGTGTGCCCACGGAGTGCAGCTACTACAACCGCATCTGGCAAACCGGTAGTGCTGGATCGGCTCTGCCGTGGCTGGCCTCTCGGCCGCGACACAAGACTTGGATCCCTTGATCCGTCTGCATCGCTAGCTCGAGCAAAGTGTAAAATATAGACAGTTTCAGCTCGAAGCTTGCATCGCAATTTGGGTTCTCTCTGCGAGTACAAGGTCCATACATCAGGTTCGGGGTGGCTACCGCTTCAATGGTGATGATATCCTCCTTGCACGGGAAGCCTGGCGTGCGGCGCCCGCTGCACGAAACCTGCTTGATCTGGGCGTGGCCCGGCGGCTTTTGCCCACTTAGAGTCCGGCCAACAAGCGCTTCTTCCGGCCCTGTAAGAGAGGAGGGGATTCTCGACGCCGAGACGAGTTGCCTTGTTGCCTTTGAGGCTGGGACTGGATCCGTTGGCCTCTTCTGGCTCGCCCAACAGAAGGAGCTCTCGCGATTAACGGCTCTGGAGGTCGGTGCCGACCTTTTGCTTTAAGCGATGCTCAAAGCAACAAAGCACAGTGCAGGCGCAAGAAGAGAGCGCCGAACTTCTCAACCGAAGCGTTCAGCTTCTGGGCTTGGAGCCCCGAGTGCATGTTATCCACGGTGATCTGCGGGATGAAGGCCAAGAGCCCAAGTATTCACGGCGCGGCTTCCTCTTGCGTGAGTTGTCTGTTTTGGTGCAGGCATAGTGCAGGGCCTCCAGGCCAAGTATGATTTGGTTACCGCCAACCCGCCGTACATCCTGCCTGGTGACAGGCCGGACTTCTTGCCTCGTTCCTTCGTCCAACGTTGGTCGTGTACTGTTTCCAGGAAGCTACCGGCCCACAGCCAGCGTCGTTACTGCTACTATGAGCTGCGGGGTGGACCGCGTGAATTCGCGCAGACTGCATCCAGATCATTATCCGACGAGGGCAAGTTCTGCATTGTCCACGCCCCTCTCTTGCATCCTTCATGCTGCTGCATGCATGCAGGTCGAGAGGTAGGCTCTGGAACAGCAAGAAGTTCTCTAAGACTGTCTAAGACTAAGACGGCTGCCAGGTTGCAAGCCGCAGCGGTGATGTGGACCGTGCGCTGGCGGACGTGGGCCTGACGACCGTCCGGCGGCTCACTGCATTCTCCAGAGGAGAGCCGAAGCTTGGCACGAAGCACATTAATTCCACCGCTGGCTCTCCTCCGAGAAGGCTCCGGGATCCGCCATGCTTGTGGGCAGCTGTTTCATACTTCGGAAGCAATGAAGATCTGAACCTCGGGTTTTGGGGCGTCCACCCATGGCAGCTGTCTGCTTTTGGCTTCGGGATGCTTCAGGGGAGGAACATCGCATTCAGAGACCGCATCTGTGCGACCCAAGCCCAACCTCTTATCGACCTCCAAGGAAGTGGCAGGTGCTGGTTTGCAGCCGATCGCCATCGGATCTTGCAGTTGATGAAGAGGAGCTGATCGTCTCAGGGCGGCAAGGAGCTTCTTGACTTCCCTTGGCGCAGAAGTCATGCAACAGCCAGAATCGATGAGGTCCGAGACGAGTCTGGGCGCTGGACCAAGGATTGGGATGCGATTTGCCTTGAGATGGGAGCCTTCCAGAAGCCTAAACATGACACAAGCGAAGACGAGCATCGTGCGAAGCGATCAAAAGAGGGCATTTCAGGCATGTTCTCTAAGCCTTGGCGGCAGCCACGATTTTTGCACTGAGGTTGTCATGGCTTCGAGATCGCGATGCTGTTGCCGTGGCAACTGCTCTGGTTCTGAACTCACACGAAAGTCGATGTGCTGTCTCGGCTACCATCGAGAGTCAGACGGCCTACAGGCATTAAGTTTAAACCTGGGGTTGGTGAATTCGAGTTGTGTGTGAGGTCCTGTGTGTGGGCATCTTTCGCATCGATCTTCTCATCCTTGGGATCATAGGCCTGCTTCCTTTCTCGGAGGTTCGAAGCCAAGCTGTGCCGCTTGTGACTCACTTGCGAGGCCTGTATCTGCAAAGGCCCAGCAGGACCTAGTGATCGTGAGGTTTCACCCACTGTTCTGTGGGCAATGGGGCCGTAACTCAGGATACACTTTCTGCTCAGCTTGCCGACTGCTTATGTGCCGATCTCGGAGTGATCAAGAGGTCCTCAACTGCTTCGTGTCGTCATCGAGCAGACGGGCCTTGCAAGTGCTCATGAGGTCTTCTCCTTTCCCAAGTGGTGCAGAGACGTCTTGGCCTCGGAATGCCTCGCGAAGCTCCGGCGGGAAATCCGGTGCACATCGGTGCAGCAAGGAGTTCTTCTACAGATCTATGTGGCGGAGCTCGTACTTACGTCCACAGCTCCAGATTTTGCCAGGGAGCTTATGGGCCCTTCGGCGAATCCACTGTCATGTCAGGTCGGTTCATCCTCCGTTGGGTGCCCATTCTCCAGAAGCCGGATTTCGACTGGAGTTTATCCTTCCAGCATAAGTCGGTTGCCTACGACTGGGGCTCTGACGAGAGGCGCGCCGGCTTTCTGTGCATGACTTTGCGCGGCTTCGGACCAGCACGCAAGCACGGCTGTTGGACTTCGGAGGTGGGTGAACGTTTATCTGGAGAGAACCCAGAAAGACGACAAGTCTACCGTTGGTTTCTGGGAACCGGTACGTCCAGCTGTCCTCCCACGGGTGGAACCAGAAGCGTCTTGGCCAAGCTTGGTGTACAACAGCTATACGTTGCATAGAACTTCTTGACGCTGACCGCTACAGTTTCGAAGGCAGACGTCCATCCCAGCAACGGTGTGGCAGCCAGCTCAGGCACGTTTTTGTCCACAACCTCTGAGTGCATTCTGTTGCGAAACCCTAAACCCTAAACCC